TAGATAGGTATAACTTGTTCAGAAAGGACAGGACAGCAGGTGGGGGGGAAGGAGATGTTGTTCCATGTAGAAAGGAGATGTATGCATGTTTTCAGGTGCCGTACGAAGTGGAAGGCAGGCATGTTGAAAGCCTCTGAGTAACGGGCAAGGGAGAGAACAGCCACGGGGATGTCATGGTGGGCTTCTGCTGTAGGCCACCAAACCAGAAGGAAAAGGTGGACAACTGATGGAAGTTTCCAAATCACAGTATCTGGTTCTCATGTGGGACTTAATACGATGACTTCTGCTGGGAAGAAAACACAGAAGTGTGCTGGCAGTCCAGCACAGTCTTGGAGTGTGTTGGGAATAACTTTTTGGTACAGGTGTTGGAGAATACAACTAGGAGGGATGCTCTTTGTAACTTGCTGCTCATAAGTAGAAAATAATTGGTTGAGAATATGAAGATGGAAGGTAACTTGTGTGACAGTTACCACAAAATGATAGAGTTCAAGATCTGAATGGAAGGAAGGACTTCCAAAAAAACAAACCTTAACAAACTCAGGGGACTGGTAGGATCTCCTGTGAGGCAAGTCTGAAGGGAAAGGAAACCCAAAAGAAGACGCTGTACTTTAAGAAGGCCATATTAAGGGTGCAGGAACAAGATATCCCAATTCAACAGAAGAGTGGAAAGTATAACAGGAGACCAGCCTGGCTAAACAGCAATCTCTTCAATGAGCTGAATCTCAAAAATGAGTCCTACAAAAAGTGGAAACCTGGAAGACCGTAAGACAGCAGTAGCTATAAGTACCATCTCTTATAAAGAGGATGCAGATAGGCCTTTCTTTGTGGCTACCTGGGCAGTATTAGGAAGACCAAAGCACAATTTGAGATGCAACTGGCAAGGGGATTCTAGACGTATGTCAAAAGTAAGAGGAAGACCAAAGAAACCATAGGTCCCTTGTGGGATGCATAAGGCAATCGAGTTGAGGTTACAGAGAAGGCCTCTTTTACTTCAGTCTTCAAAAATAAGATTAGCTATCAGATAAGAGCAGTTAGCAGCAAAGATGAGGAATGAGACAAACAGCCTAAGGTAGTGGAAGAACAGATTAGAGATTACTCAGAGACGCTACATGATTTCAAGAAAGCAGGGCTGAATTGGATGCACCATAGGATACTGACAGAACTGTCTGAGGGAATGTCAGAGCCACTGGCTATCCTCTTTGAAAACTTGTGGGGATCGGGTGAAGGCATGGATGACTGGAAAAAGACAAATATAATCCCTATCTTTTAAGAAAGGAATTAAGGAGGATCTGGAGAATTACAGACCAGTCCATCTGACCTTGATACCCAGAAAGATCATGAAAAAGGTCGTCAGGGAATCTATTGTAAAGCACCTGGAGGAGACCAAGGCAGTCAGGAACAGTCAGCATGGATTCACTGAGAGCAAGTCATGCCTAACCAACTTGATTTCCTTCTATGATAAGGTGACAGGTTCTGTGGATGAGAGAAGATCTGGGGATGCAATATAGTTTCATAGTTTCTAGGGTCGGAAGGGACCTGAGCAGATCATCTAGTCCGACCCCCTGCCATGGCAGGAAGAGCACTGGGGTCAAATGACCCCAGTAAGGTGGTCATCCAACCTCCTCTTAAAAACCCCCAGGGTGGGAGCCTGCACCACCTCACTTGGAAGCTGGTTCCAGACTCTAGCCGCCCTGAC